AGCAGAAATTTTATTCGTGTTTTACTCAGCATGTATTCTTCTGTTAGGGCTGCAGTCAAACTTAATGCAGGAGTTACTCCTTCCTTTGCATCTAATATTGGACTTAAACAGGGGTGCAATCTTAGTCCAACTCTGTTCAATGTTTTCATAAACGATATTCCTGATTTGTTTATCTCCAAAGATTGTGATCCGGTATATCTGGGAGAAACGAAAGTAAATTGTTTACTTTATGCCGATGACCTTGTACTATTATCACAGTCTGAGTCTGGTCTACAGGAGAGTCTCGCTAAGTTGGAATGTTATGTTAAAAGATGGAAATTGAAAATTAATTTAAAAAAGTCTAAAGTTCTAATCTTTGGAAGTAAATCTCAAAGGCGGCCGTATATTACGACAAACTGGTATTTTGGTGGGGATCTGATAGAATGTGTTGATGAATATCCGTACCTAGGAATTACATTTCATTATGCTGGTGGTTTTCAACTTGCACGTAAGAGATTGCATAATAAGGCACTGCAGGCTTACCACAGTATTTTTAAAAACTTTTCCAATGTGGATAGGGTTCCGGTTAAGGTGCTGTTAAAGTTATTCTCAACTCTTGTTTCCCCTATTCTGTTATATTGTTGTGAGATATGGGGAGTATATTTCTTAGGCAGATTGACAACGACCGAGATGTTCAAGAACAAAATTTTCAACGTGATTTCAGATATTGATAAGCTACATTTAAAATTTTGTAAACGTATTTTAGGGGTCCACCCCAAATCTACCAATCTAGCAGTGCTAGCTGAACTAGGCAGATTACCAATGTCTGTACAAATTTCAACTCTAGTTATCAAATACTGGTTAAGAACAAATAGTCCAAATTACGAAAAGCAATTAGTAGGTAAGGCAGTACAGGTGTGCATTCAATCAAGGTATCAGGGTGTGAAATTCTCTGATTTCTTACTACATATGTGTGATTTCGAACCTTTGAGCAGTTATGAAATTCAGTCTAAAAGTGATATTAGTAATTTAGCTAAAGCTATTAAGAATGAATTATGTAATAGATATAATACCATATGGAAAGATCAGATTCAACAGTGCAACAAATTACGAATCTTAAGCCTTGTAAAACCAAGTTGGCATGTTGAAAGTTATTTGTCTTCGGTCAGAAATGTAAAACACCGCAAAGCGGTTACAAGGTTTAGGATATCTGCACATAGATTTCCAGTTGAAGTCGGTCGATATGCTAATATTGACCATAAGTTACGCCTATGTCCAATTTGTGATTCAAATGATATAGGTGACGAATACCATTATTTTTTAAATTGTAAAAATTACAAGTTAGAAAATCTAAAAGAAAATTTCCTGAAAGAGATACTGGAAATTAATAGTTGTTTTAGTTCACTAGGTAAAAATGACCTGTTTCTTTATTGTATATCCATGAATGACAAGAGTTTAACAAATTGTACAGCCAGATACATTTACGAGTTAACTAAGATTTTCTCTGACTGTACTGTTTGTAATTAAGTATTAGCTATAGTACTAGTTTTATTGTTTGTATATGTATCTGTTATATTGTAATATATCCTATGTACCAGTAATGGTGTAATGGAATAAATATATTATTATTATATTATTATTATTATTATTACGTGTGGATTTGCGAAGGCAGCAATTTGGCGAATTACCAGAGATGCTTCAGTCAAAATAAAGCGCGTCAACAATGAAACGCCATATCAGCATCGCGTGCGTACAGTTCAAGTTATTCATGAACGTTTCTCCCAAAGTTTCCCCGGCAAGAAGTTCGCAGTTGACTTTAAAACCTTCATGAGGAAACTGCCAGACTTGCGCAAGAAAATCAGCAACTGGAATCCTAGGAAAAAGACGGAACGCGAGCAATATTTCGAGGCTTTCTCCGCAGATAACTGGAAGGCATTGTCGATCGAACACAAGGCCGAACATAGCTTGACAGACTGTCGTACCTGTTTCCACAAGTATTCAATACAACAGTCGTTCTTTCCTGTCCAATCCAAGGAATTTCAAGGCTGTTTAAAACAAAATCCAGCAATCGTGGCAAAAAATATCGCGGGTAAAATAATTCAACAACCCGGCCAAGTGAAATGCACCCGACGTGAGTATCAAGCTGGCGTTCAGAAGGTTTATGACGAAATCAACCCAGTTTTCGAACGCGTGTTTAACGTCCCTCTTGAGAAAGCCCTGACGACTCTTCCGACCCTGAACATTCAGACGAGTAGGAGTGCCACTGAAAGAAAAAGAGAAAGACGTAAACAATTACGTAAAGCCAAAACGTCCATTGAAAAACACTGGAAGAGTACCTCTGTAATGAGGTACGTATGTTAAATTTCACTAATTATAAATTTCATTTGTAACAGATTATGATAAACGTACTCGTAATATAAGGGTAAATATATTGCTAGGAAAGCTATAAAATGTAATAAAACTAATAAATCAATGTAATCACATGATTAAGGTGTTATGGAAACCGCCAATCATTATCAGCCGCACGAAGATCACGCCTCACTATGGCATTTGAGAGCAAGGATGATGCGAAGAAGCGAAATGAGATGAGCAATAGTTTGAAAAAACGTAATCCTGTTGGGAATGTGAACAATAGAGTATTCGAGCGAGAGAAAATGAAGGAAGAAATAGAAAGCTATCCTGATGGTATTGCTGTCAACTGGTCAGATTTGGCTCGGCGACACAATATCACCAACACCAAGGGGGAATTGGCAAAAAATGGAGGGCAGATAGCTCAGGAGTGGCTAAAAAAAGAGGGCGTGAACATTAACAGGTTCAAACGTAAGAATGATGGAAGTGATATGCGAGTCCGGAGAAAGAAACTTAGGGGACAAGGAGGGGAAATTACGGTTGCAACTCCGCAGAATATTGACAAGGTGAAAGCTGAGATAAGGAAGAAGATTTCATCTGGCGAATATACTGTTGGGCAACAAATTGCACCAAGAAAGGTCAGTGCCAAACAGTATTATTTTACTTCATTGCTATGATAGACAGGGCCGAGATTGATAGACAGGATAAAAAATAATGCAATAATCAGATGTACTGTAGATTTCTCTAGGGTCTGATCTATTTACAGGGTCTGTATTGTAAGTAATTTGTTAATCATTAATCTTGAAGCAAACATTCCATTCCATTTTCATCTCGATTTTAGTATGAAAAGATGGCATTAAATGAAAATGGAGAGATAGTTAGATCTGAGTTTGTTGTGGAAGGACGAAAGCAGCCTTTGGTCGAGATTAGAGAACGAACATTGAAAAGCCAGGAAAAGTACATGCGACAACGATGTGATGACGAGTACGATAAAATGACAAGTGAAAGTTTGATAACGTGTCTCAAAGCAATAAACGAGTACCATGAAGATGAAAATGTGCAGTCGATGCGGGATAGGCTAAAAGATATTGAGAGAACAAGGCATCTGAAAGTTTGGCATGATCTATCAACGATTGCTAACCACGGCCACTTGGTTTTTATGGTGTCATCCCTATATGATCCTGCAATCCATTACCTTGATAGCGAGTACCAAAATCTCACTGGCTGCAAAAACACAGACATTCAAACGAAGGTGGAAACGCCGGAAGTCTACATAGTTGCGCGGTCGGGAAGTTCAGATGTTGAACAACTCACATACGTTGATACACGTCTGGAATGTTTGGAAGAACTAAGCATCGATATAAAGACTAGTGGTGGGAATGATGTCGGAGATAAAATGCGCTTCTTTTACGGTGACAGTCCTGCGCGTCAACTCGAATCAGGGCAGCAAAAAGGAGGAAACTTCTATTGTTCTGGATGTGGTGCAAATGCACAACAGGCATATCAGCTGGACATTTGCTTTTCTTGCCACTACCTGTCACTAATAGATCGGCAACAGTTGGTACTCGCTGGACCTCTTGGAAGAAAAAATTCTCTGGCAAAAGCTCCCAAGCCATTTCAAAAGTTAAAGAAAGATGAACTTATTCGAGAACTGAATGCGAGAGGAATCTATGAAGGGGAGTCCAAGAAAGAGCTTGAGAAGCTTTTGACAGAGGAACTCCACGGCGTTCAGAGAGTACCTGCTTTACTTTACAACAACCCAACAGCTACCCTGGAATCCATCAACTGTGACAAGTATGAAATACTTAGTTTTGAACCCCTCCACGACATAGGCAAACACATTGAAAATGTTCTAGCTGAATTCCCTTTTCATCTCCCAGAAAAAGAAGCTGCTGCTGTGAAGGAGGTCATCAATTGCTCCATTGGTGGTAAGGATACCAAGCGCACATTTGATTATAGATGTGCACTTATTATCCTTGCAAAACATTCCTCAAAGATAGTAACATCCAACATTGTCCAGCAACTATTGACCACCTTGGTAGAAATCCAAAGAATTGCTTACAGTTCGGAATCTGAGAGGACCCCCAAATCAGTCCTGCGTCTTCACAACATGACATGGCACCATGGGATCTTGTGCAGAGAGGTGTTTGGTTTCAAGCTAAAGGAACTGACAACGCGCAAATTGTACGGCAACTACTACCACAACATCACCAGCCATGCTGCTATGCAGCATCGACTAATTAATGGCAAAGCCTGTAATGTTGAAGAGCAAGAACGGATTTTCAACACCATCACCAACATCACCAAGTCAACATCCTCCTACCACCCAAGTCACATCATTGGCAATATCTTCATCCGATTGCAAGCTGAGAAACAGATGCAAGCTTTTCAAGGCTCTTCTTCCTTGAATCAGGAAACATCTGTTTCTAAGCTTGCAGACTCCCTTCCACCATATGGAAACACCATCATTTCTGAAGACCTTATAAAGAAGCACATAAGATCATGGCCATCTCATCTAGAAAGGATTAGCGACTTCCTCTTACCTGGCAAAGGAAGCTGGTGGCTTGAAGATGAAAGTGGAAATGTGGAATTTTTGGATGGGGAAAAGGCAGCAAGCTCTCACACAGGAGGTCCTATACTTCATCATTTTCGCTCGAGTAGTAACTATGTTTTAATAGAGAGGAAGAGTACCTTCAAAAGTGTTGGAATGAATGCTTAAAGATATTCGAGTTGAAGATAAGCATGGTCAGTTGAAGGTTATAAGAAGATCATTGGAGGAGATCAACATCACAAATGGCAACATCAATGTTGGTATTGAGGAACAATCAGTTACAGGTAATGCAATCTCAAATCATATAAACAATTTTAATTAAGGGACTCAAAAAATTTCAACATGGTTAAAGCCTAAAAAAATGCCTGTGGTTCCGGTTTCATATCGTGAAAAAATTAGGGTCAGTAGGTCGGAATTGAATAAATTATTTTTAAATATTTTTTTCATGGTTTTGGCGGTTTTTTGCTGGGCGATTTGCAGTAGAGTCCCGACTAACCTCGTTCCCCGGCTCACAAGAGGGAAGAGCCTGGGAACGAGGTTGAGTCCCGACATCAATATTAACTAAAGATGCGTATGGACGAATTTACTAATTTAGGCAATTTGGTTCAATAATTAATAGTGTGACAACAGATGCCATTTTAGCACGTTGTATGAGCAGCCCGCAACCACCCGGAGAAAATAAGGTTGCACAGTCAATCGCGTTGAAAAAATAATAGGGTCAGCAGAAAAAAATAGGGTCAGTCGAGAACCGGAACCACTAGTGCTAAGGAGCAGTACGGGCAACCTCGTACCCATGGTCTTTCCTCTTGGGGGGAAAAGACCCTGGTGGACGCTGCTCACATGATCTGCTAAAACCTAGCAGATTTCTAATTAACTACCTTGGATTCCTTTACAACAATCGTACAAAATGAAAATCATAAATTGACAAAAAAAAACATCCAAATAATATTTATTAACCCCATCTTGGATTGCTAATTAAAAATCTGCTAGATTTTAGCTGATCATGTGACCAGCATCTACCAGGGTCTGTTCTCCCCTCACCAAGAAGAAAGACCCTGGGTACAGTACAAGGTTGCAGTACATGCAGGCACCCTAGTACACCCAAGTTAATATTATTTTAGTCTGTCTAATGCCAGATGAGATGATTTTAATCATTAATTAAAGGAAATGCCTCGAGATCTTTAATGTTAACTTGTCAAATTACAAGATCCTTTTTCACTATATATGGAGGGTCCTGAAGGGGTAAAATGGGAACTGGGAGTGCTTATTTTTTGGGTGGGAAAATGGGATTTCATGCACTGGAAGTGGGATTCATCAGCAAAAAAAACAACAGAAAATGGGAATGGGAATAAGGTTTGAGCAGGACAGCCACTGAGATGGTGGGATTTGTGCTCTTGGACAATGGGATTTAGTCAAAATTTGGCTGGGAAATGCGAATATGACCCCCCCCCCCCTTCAGGACCCTCTATATGTTAAACCTAGTCTCAGGGAGCAAAATACCCTGGTATGGACTGATGACGTCACCCCCAGATTTTAGGTAAAATATCATATTTTTCCTAGTAGAAATATGCTGTTTTACTCAAAATCTGGGGGTGACATCATCAGTGCATGGTGTACTAACTAGGTATTACACTCCCCGAGAAAATACCCTGGGTACGTGGTTGTATATGTTGATGCTTTACAATACAGGTTACCTGCCAGAAGAATTTCCACAGCCAGATATTGTTGGATTTGAGCTCTATCCTGACGAGACCATTAATTTACCATCCATGTACCCTGAAGACAATGATCAACACAAAGATGAAATGACAGTTAATTAATCATTCAACAATCAAGAGCAACATTGCAACTGAAAACACATCAATACCATTTGGTAATTACTGGTATATATATATATATATATATATATATATATATATATATATATATATATATATATATATATATAGATGACAAAATACAATATTCGTATCAGCCAGTTCGACATTTATATACAACAGAATAGCTGGCTACGATCCGAGAGAAACCAATACTAAAAATATACTAAAGTGATAAAGTTTTAATTTTCGACTGAATGTCTCAGCCTTCCTCAGAAATAATATTACTAATAATTTCTAACCTATGTATATACACCAATAATATGCAAATATTACAATAATGATAACTAATTAAGCTTAGTGATAGACAAAGAAGTCACTGTTGCACAAAATCATGACTATCATTTAACCCTCCCCGATTTGTGGTAATCTGTTGGAATGTGAAAACTTCTGGATTGGGACCCTTTTGACTAATCGGGG